ACGAAGCATATGCACAAAGAGTACTCAATTTTATAAAAATCGAAAAGATAAAAATCAGAATGTGAATTTTTTAGCTGATGGTGAAAACGGATGTCGACACTGCCTTGATTGACTTTTCGTCTCAGGAGTGTAGTGTGCTACCCACGTTTCGTCACAATACAGTTAAGGACTTGTTCAACTGGCAGGATTCGGAATAGCGGCACTCAGTTCAACACGCCACTACAACAACAGTTCTCAACTGACTGGGACAAATGAGCGTGCGTTCTGCTCCCGATACCGTGGCCTTGAATGCAGTGTTGCCAACTTCGTCGAAAACAAAACCCACAGAGAATATCAAAGTCTCAGTACTCTTACTTTGTGGATATGTGGATATATTTGCATTTGAAATAAAATAAAATAAAATAACAAAATACATTATCAAACTGCGTTACTACAATACCTTCCTACATTCTTGTCCTCTACATAAACTACTCACAATGAAATCAAAATTATGAATCACCTCTTACTGATAAGCACAGGTTTAATTACTACCGAATGATGTGGCAAGCGTTATGTTTCAAAAAGCAAAATATTTACTTTTATATAGGAATATGTACTTTTTAGCTTAAAATATTTAGTTCTTCAACAAAATGTAAATAAATTTGTTTGCTTATTGCTCATCTTCCTTAAATAACTCACAAACTGAAATGAATGTGGATAAAAAGACTGTTTTCTCTGTAACAATGTTGCCATACTTCGCCTATATTCTTTGATAACTAAGGGAAAATGTCATGTGTGTATAAAATAAAAAAATATGTATTCTAAAATCACGTGATTCTGTAGACGTTTCTAGGAAATCGTTGAGAAAACAGCAGGTTACGGAATTATTCATAAGAATTTTGAATTATTTATAACTGGTCTCCCAATTCCACAAGTTGAATTTGATTTTCATGTTTATTCAAGCGTCAGCAATTTATTCAAATTAAATTATATATCTCATTATATAGCATTGTTAAAAACCCAATACAACCTTAGAAATAACTTTTTATAGACGAGTTATCAAATATGAATATTAAATATCATAGACCTTTTAAAATACAGTTCTTCTTGAGATTTATTTTAACTAAAATGGCGAATAGTGAACAGTGAAATTATAAACAGAAAAAATGTATATTGTTTTTACTTTCAATAGGTAGGTACTTTTAATTATTACATACCTTGAATTTACTTAAGCACCTATTTCACAACCATGAAAAGTTAAAACGTTAATTACTAGATCAAACAATAATAAAAATTTACAAAACGCGCTATAAAATCATTAAATTGTACAAAACTTACACAATTATCTATCTATATCCAAGTTTTTCAGAAGTTGCACCTATTAGAACTGAGTTCAAACTAAACTGAGAATGGCACAAATCATAATTTGCCACTATTAATTATATTGGTAATTAGAAGGTGTTATTGTAAAATTTGTTGCAGGTTATTTCATACTTGAATACGTTTACTAGTTTGCGACAAGAAAAAAGTGGGTTCTCCTATTAACTTTATAAAATTGTTACAACAGAAATTTTCCATTTCGTACAAAACCGTTACGAAATTACAACAGTGATTTGAGAAATTAGTGTAAAATAAAATAGAATTCAAGATAAGAATTTGTATTTTAATGAGAATTTTCCTAAACAAAGGAAGAGCTAAGAGCGTTGAGAAATCACTAAATTAGTAATTAATGATTAAAAACGTAGAAGTTGAATAATGAAATATTAATTATGAAGCAATTAAATAATTTTTAATACAAAACAAATGTTTATAAAAACATTAATATACTAAGAAATTTATTCTTTCTATTTGAATCTAAACTAAAACAAAATATACTTTGATCTTTACTGATTTTGATTTTTGTATTTATTAGTTATGTGTAATTGAATAAATATTAGAAATTTGGCACTTGAAAAACAAATACATAAGTAATTTATTTTTAAAAACTCTTTCATGCCAAACCATTAGAATAATAATAGGACAGAAGTTCATGCCAAATAATTGCATTCGCTTAGACAAAATGCAGCACATTGTAAATTTTAAAATACAGTTTTTCCACTCATATACAGGGTGTCGACCAAAAAACATGAGGTATTTCAAGGGTAGTTGCCTTGGGTCAAAATAAACTGATTTAGATCATCATTAGTATGAATTTATTTCCTCAAAAAGCTACAAGCTTTTTTTTAAGGTAATTTCTCCGATTTAAAAATAGTTTAATGAAATATATCAATTATGACCCTTCTGATTGTACTAGGTACCAAAAAATCAAGTATCGCAGTAGGTGTTGAATTTTTGGTGTTATGTTGGCCTACATTGCAAAAAAATATTTATTTAAATACTTAGGTAATGATAATTGATGACTGCTGTAAAAATATTAATATTTCTCTGATCGGTGCATTTTAGCATTTTTTTTAAAGTAAATAAAATTGCACTTCAACAAAAAATCTGCGTTTTCTTAAAATCCATACCAACAAAAAATAGGAAAAAACAAAAGACTGTTTAAGAAGTTCTTAGCAATCTCTATGTTTTAAACAAATAATAAGATCATCTTCGCATTCACGTGCCAAAAACTCCCATATAGCAAATTTCATTGAAATATCTTCGTCAAGTGACTGACTGTTATATTGGTAAAATTAAATGAAACTTGTTAAAAAAGGAAAACTGAATTAAGTTATATAAATCGTTTTATTTTAACCCAATGCAGGTATCATTCAAATATGTCATGTTCTTTTCTGGACATCCTGTTTGCAAAAGTGATTTCATCAGAGCTTAGTCGGCACGAAAAGAACATTTTTTCCTCTTAATCCGAAGATTAAAATATCAGGTTTATAACTGTCTTAATTAAACCACTAAACCAATTAAATTTGCATGGATTTCATCAATTAACCACATTTCAACGGAATATGTTTAGTGCATACGTAATATTTAATAAAATTAATAGAAAGTGATAACATTTTTCCTGATAAATGTCACCTTCTGTGTGACAGAGGTTTTGTTTGAATAGAACGTTTGCATACTTTTCTAAGTTATTATAATTCATTTTGAATTAAATTAACATAAAATTGTATAATCAATAGAAAAAATATTAAAATATAAAAAATATTTAGATATCTAGTTCTCAAGAACTAGAGATATTAGTTTGAAAAGTTTTGGGCAATTTTATAAAAAAATACCTACTTAAACAGTGTTAGCCATTAATAACTACAACTACTCACTAGTCACAAGATATGTGCGAAAAAAATCGAGCAGGTGTGCTAGAAATGTCACCTAAAAAATAAATCATTCGCACCTTCCACCACTTAACAAACTACAATGTTTGCCAAGTCAGGACAACCTCACAATTTATTTTTCAGGCAAATTTGTGAATTCAAATTTATTTGCTGCTAGAAGTATAAATAAGAATTAAAATATGTCTCAAATTATTAAACCGAACTTTAATTAAATATTAACCCTAATAAAAACCAATATTCCATTTTAAACATTTAAATTTTTAATAATGATAAAACATTTTCCAACAAAACTAAAACATTTTTGTAATTTATTCTAGTCGCTAATTTATATGCTTTCCCGAGTATTTTTCTATTCATTCAAACAACGTTACATTATAAATAGAATGCCAATCATACGCTATGTTCCAGACTGAATGTGGTTAGTATTTACCATCGGCGAAAGTTCAAAGAACCTCTTATTAATTCATCGTACGTACGAAAAAAAAAAGAAAAATTCCTATCACTTTCTCTCACCCACCTACTTCTGATAGATTATGATATATTATTATACAACTACTCGGTCTGTCACAATCCATATAAAGAAATCTACGTTATGTAACCGCGATACTGGAACTCTATGTAGGTCGAATGGGCCAAAGACGACGACAGGTTAAGAAATTCGTAAGGATTTATAAAGGAACTGATTGTTACAATCAAGACCTGTTTGTTTGTACAACACGATCCACCAAACGTTAACCACCAAATGTTAACGCTTCCAAGAAATTTAATGTATGAGATGGACTTGTAATCAGAAATACATAAACATGAATGATAATACAGATACTTTGATATTTATAGAAATAGTAATTCTGTGGTTATTTTGCCCATACGTACTATTGACAATTGTAGATTGTAGCACGTGTTATTGGCTGCAATTAATATAAACAGCTCGATAATAGATATCAATTATCGCTTATTTTGCTGGCTAATTTAAGATTACGATACTCAAATAGCTAATATGCAGGAAACTTATCGCTAGTAGTGAATACTAAAAGAATAAAATATCCGCTAAGTATTCAGGAAAAAATACCACACACGTACAAAAGTATTTGTTCTACATTTAAACTAAATGGTATGTAAATTTTGAAGGATTTCAAATGACACAAAACGTCTCCAAAACGATCGGTAATACTCTCACAATCAGGATCATGGAGGATTTTTGAAATGTACAAATAGTGCTGCTGACATAATTTTCTTGCCGATGACAGGTTGATTGTTAGAATGCCAAAATATTAGATTTCATAATGTATAAATAAGCGTATCTGACATTTCCTTCAAACATAAAATTCTTAATCTATATTTCTGTTATTTTCAGAAGTTGAGTGAACTTATTCTTTGGCTAACAATCACTGAATGTGCCAAAATATGAAAAACTGATAAATTTCTGTTTTCCTTCGATTAACTGGGTATTTTTCCAACAGAACAAAATTAAATAAACCCTATTCTCTCAACTGTAAGAGTTTTGTTTTTGTTAATTGTGAAATCATCTTTCCCGACTCAATGTTTCATAATTAACCAACCAGTTAAACATAATACAAAAAGCGAAAAAATTAAAATCATAGTGACATATCTAGTTTTTTTTTGTATTTTATACATATTTTAATTGTCTGTGTTACGTAATCAATTGTAATTTTGAGTTTTGGATGGAAAAAAAAGGATATACCTAATATATATCTGACATTGTCTTACCACAATCTTAAAAGTGGATCTCACCTTACCCTGAAACAAAAGAATTAATTAATTACATACAGCACACATAATGTGATACATGATCGTTAATAATAGAGAAAAACCTACGAAAAATGTCACCAATTACTAATCCGTTTTTGCATTCTAAATGCCACAGAAAAAAGTTCACGTTTCTCTTTCGCAATTTGCAATGTATACCATAACCATTCCAAAACCTTGAGCAAATTGCATTGCATAAAACGACAGAATAGAGAAACAAGCTAGTCGAATACGAATTTATAAAATTATTATTTATAATCTCCTAATAATTTATATGGTATTTAAATTTATTATTATAGTTGGATATTTTAAATATTTGATAATCACATTGAGAATAGTTCTTAAAAGAAAATGAAACAAACATGCAGTATACGAAATATAAATAAATCAATGTTAAAGTCGGTAACACTACCATTTACCACCGAAGTTCACGGTATTGAGAAAATTCCCAATTTTCGTAACTCTTCAGAAAAATATAACCAGTAACATTAACCATTATACATATATTTGAACAATATTAATTTTTAAGTCCCCTCAAAAATTCATTTTGGTCAAATTTTTAAAGGAAAAATTAGAAAAAATTACTATTTAAGAAGAATGGTTATTAAATTTGATATGCTGTGAAAAAGCAGATTTTTCAGGTATATTTTTGTTATTATAAAGACAGAAAAACGAAAAAAATATTTCCTCGACCTTCTAAAAAATAAGTAAATGATTCCTTAACTCCCGTTAATTAGGCGCTCTACTTTGCATCCCATCTGCTTACTGGCAATGCGCTGGCGCACCACAGAGTTTTCCAACGTTGAAGGGAAACAGCTGATTTCTCCAGTCGTCTTGAATTTTGCAATTGATTTCAAAATCAAAATGCAGCGCAGCCTCCTAACTTGATTAACAACGTGCTATGGACGGATAAATGTTTATATTTAAATTTTTAGCGGTACTGGCATTTTAAATAGGTAGGCTACTCTTTGAAAAGCAATAAGTCGCACAATATGGTATACGTATTACAAACTGAATAATTAATTGAACATAAAAACGGACGATATTATAAATTATAAACTGCAATTCGAAAACAATCATTATCATTATACATTTGTTTTTATTAACAAAATAATAAATAATACTAGTTAATAACTTAATACTTAAAAAGTAAAAAAAAAAATATGTTACTCATTTAAGTGTATAGATAAAAAGGTCTGGTATTGTTCACTATTAAAAACAGTAAAAGCTAGGTTAGTGACCGAACACGGTAGGTCAAGATTCACTCTCAATAAACCTTTGTAGGTCTGCGGTCAGGAACGGTCCGAAAAGGGAAAAATCAAATGATTTGATTTTTTTTTCAGCGTAAATATGCATTTACATTTTTTTAAATCGCGTATTCGTATTCTACTCATTTTCCCTATCTTCCCTTAAAATTAATGACATTATGACTGAATCACCCTGTATAAACCAACAGCAAAACCCGTACATATGATTTTTTTATCATTACATACTTGCCTACGTTGCCAAACTCAACGATTATACGTATAGTATGTACGTAGAGAAAACCACGAACCACCCTGTATATGGGAGCGCTTGAAATTACTTTCTTAGTTTGAAATTATTTTCTTCAACAACAGTCTGGATCCGATTTCGACAATCGAAATCGTTCTGGCGCTAGGCCAAAACGGAGTTTTTAAGAACCATTGTTGTTTTGTTGGCCCTACTATTTTTAGGTTCGCGCACGAGTTTACTTCCATAAAATTGTTTTATACACTAACCGAGATACTTGTTAGATTGAAAACAAACTCCGGATGTGCGGTGTTTATTTTGACAAATCTAACGCACATCAATCTGTTATAAAATTGCTATTCATCCATCCACAGGCCACTTTATTAAAACCGTAACGGCCACAAACATTTGAACAATTAAAAATTGGCAAATTATATTTATCAGAGACTACTCGGTTATCTACACCAGAGTTTTACACGATGTACACCAATATTAAAAAAATACGGACAAACAAAAGCTCCAAATCGGGAATCTACAAATATATATTTTTTGTGGCATTTCTTAAAACGTTTTTCTTTTCTTTTTGAGTACTTTGACTAAAGGTTAATTTAAAATTTATTTTCAACTTTTTGATGATATACGAAGGAGAAGTTAACCGTATATACAGGGTGATTCAGAACTTATCCAAAAAAAAATTCTGGATGTACAGGGGACCCTTACAAATACAATTTTGTAAAGAAAAAATCAAAAAGGTCAGTTCGAAATTGATTTAAAAATACACTTCTGCACGGCACTGGAAACTGGTCCACTGTAAAACCTGACCTCGCACAATGCGACCGGTATGGCGGCGTGATAAAAACGGACAAAAACTTTCGCAAGGAAAGAAATATGTAAATAGAATTTTATCGCACCTATTTTATATCGGCAAATTCAAATGCTTTTGCCTTTATTAATTATTAATAAAATTAATTTGTGTTTTTAAATAATAAAATCATTTGACATACCCGATGCTGCAACAGCAATTGTTCAAAATTTTATCCACTCACGTGTAAACACATTTGGGTCCGTCTTACTCACTTTCTACGAACTAACACAAATGATGTCTTGCTTCACCATAACACAAATACTTCACCATAATACAAATGTTGTCTTGCTTCACCATAAATTAAAACGATATCCATCAACTCTGAGTTGCTATACACGCAAGCCATTTTTGACACTAACTACTAAAAAACTGATGTAAATACCACAGATAACAGGTAAAAACTACCGCAACGACGGATTTCAGTATTAGGAGTCACATGGCTCTCCATGCGTATTGCGAATGACGTTAGAGACTACAGTTGTCCAGCTATGTAGTGGTTTAATGTGCTATCTTATAATTTTTTTCTCAGAAACTATAAATTTTTTTTACAATATTGACTCCATTTCTCATGCCGCATCTATTCCGAAATTTTTTTGGATAAGTTGTGAATCACCCTGTACATAAATCTGCTAGCGAATGATCTAAGCAATAGCTAGTAAATATACTAGATATTGGGGATGTAATTCAACGCTGGACGGGTCATGTAGCCCGCAGAGTAGTTGTTTCCCACAATATCATTAGTTAAACAATTTCTGTTATTTAAAGACTTTTCCTCGTATTTTTGTCTCTACATATTAATAGACAAAACACCATTTCCCGTGAGTTGCTGGGAAAACAATACCCTTCGCTTGTTAGATAACGAATCGTCACGCTAGAAATGCATCGATTTAACATACCGAGCCTCATTCTTGACCCACCTAGCACAGAGCAGCCTTGCAATACGCTATCACACACATGTGGTAAACGTTCGTAGAGATCGGAAAAATGTGGGTCACAATGCTTGTATAGTATTGTGCATATAGTTTTTTTTTATTTTATCGTGCAGTGTAAATTATAACGCAGAACGTAATGGAAAGTTGTTTGTTAAAGGTTACGTACAAAGTAGGTGGCAAAGTCTAGCTGCTATTATTATAGTAAACCTTAATGATCTTATCAAGATACACGTGACATCTTTTTTGTAGGTAATGGTAATTTTTTTATTTTTGCTTCACTGAAAAACAGTTTATAAATACATTTTGTAAGAAACATATGTTTCATTTCAAGTCCATTAGCAATAGTTTACCATTTTTCTTATTTTCATTGACGATATCACCCTTTGTCAAGTAGATGCACAATTGCACAAACTTTAAGGGGTGGCTTTTTGAGTGATTTTAAACTAAAAGTATTTTATAAAAATGATATTCCCGGAAATTCAACTTTACTGTAGATTATGAGGATTCTACCACCACTTCTTGCTCCTGTGTTTTCATTAAACTATTTTCGATTTATTACTATTTTTAACTTTCGTTATCGTTACCAAGTACTTCAGTAAACCTAACTGCGTTTCGCAAAAAAAATTCAAGAATTTGTTCTAAATACTCGATGTTAATTACGTTTTTTTAGGAAACCCTTGCTCTAATAAAGTCTAAATTGTATTTCTAGTAAAGAAATCCTTTAACTTTTTTTGAGAAAACAGTGTCTAGAGTTATTTTACATTTTGTGGAGTATTTGGCAATGTAATATAAGAAAATGGTTCGATTCTTGTATAAAATAAAATATATATTTTTTCTAGTTACAAGTACTGACCAAAAAAACACCCTCTACGAGGTCTGTTCAGAAAATAATCTAACTCTTTGAAGTAAGCGCTAATGGAGATATTTAGTGATATACGGTTGGCAGCATTGCGTTTCGTATAATCTCCTCTGTAACCACATGTTCTTGGATTGTTGATATCTCATATAGTTTTCGTGATATTGTTATTTGAGTGCAACGTAAAATTTTGCGGGAAACTGGGGAAAATCAAGGAAACGTTTGGTCTTTTGAAACAAGCTCACGGAGATGATGCCCTGGGTCGTACGCAATGTTGCGAATGGTTTTTACGATTTAAAAGTGGTCGTCAGTCAATTGAAGATGATCCTCGACCAGGAAGGTCTTCAACTTCAATTGATGGCTCCCACTTGAATTGAAATTAGCATCTCAATTAAGCCATGCCATGAAATTTAAACTGAAAACTTGAACATGCATCGAGTTGCAGCAATATTCTTCTTCTTCTTCTTCTTCTTCTAGTGGTTGGTCCTAATAAGTCCCATAGCACTGCGGCCTGGTTAGGCCTATTGTGCGTCCTACTACTAGTCCTATTCAGCAAGTAGATTTGTCCTTTTTACAAAGTCCAAAAGCTTCCTTGCTGACACTTCTCTCAGTTCCTTGGGTGCCAAATAGGGTCTCCCAAGGAGCGCCATTCTGCTACGTGCAAATCCCGGGCACTCGCCCAGGATATGCAGAGAAGTTTCATCCGCCGATTCACATCCTCGGCAGACCGGACTGTCTACAAGCTTTAGTCTATGTAGATGTTTCCTAAAGTGACAGTGTCCCGTTATGAGTCCTGTCACTCTCCTGAGCCGGATTCTATTCAAGCTCAGTAACTCATTCGCTCTTC